ACGTCTCGGCGCACTACGACCTGGGCAACGACATGTTCCAGTCCTTCCTGGACCCGACCATGACCTACTCGTGCCCCATCTGGAAGACGGTCGACCCCGCCGACCGCGAGGAGGAGAGCCTGGAGAGCGCGTCGCTGCGCAAGCTCCACACCATGATCTCCAAGGCCCGCATCGGCCACGCCGACCACGTCCTCGAGATCGGCTCGGGTTGGGGCTCCATGGCCATCGAGGCCGTCAAGCAGACCGGGTGCAGGGTGACCACGCTCACGCTGTCGGTGGAGCAGAAGAAGCTCGCCGAGGAGCGCATCGCCGCCGCGGGGCTGTCGGACAGGATCACGGTGCTGCTCAAGGACTACCGCGCCTTCGTCTCGGAGCACCTGGCCGCGGGCGGCAGGCCGTTCGACAGGCTGCTGTCGTGCGAGATGCTCGAGGCCGTCGGATTCGAGTTCCTGCCCACGTACTTCGACTGCGTGGACCGGATACTGGACAAGAAGCGCGGCGTGGCCTGCATCCAGTTCATCTCCATGCCCGAGAGCCGCTACGAGGAGTACCGCCGCACGACGGACTACATCCAGAAGCACATCTTCCCCGGTGGGTCCGCGCGCCGCCCTGGACGCCCCCGGCCTTGTTGATCCCGACGCCTCCGCCAGGCGGCCACTGCCCTACCCCGACCGCCGTCATCGACGCCGTCTACAAGGGCTCCAAGGGCAACCTCATCGTCGAGGACCTCGAGAACATCGGCGGGCACTACGCCAAGGCCCTGCGCATCTGGCGCGAGGAGTTTGTGCGCAACTTCGACAAGGTCGTCGCGGCCGCGGACGAGAAGCACAAGCGCATCTACGACGACGTGTTCCGGAGGAAGTGGGAGTTCTGTGGGTCCTCCCCGGCTCCGCCAGCGGTACCGAGTCTCACCCACCCCGACAGACTTTGCCTACTGCGAGGCCGGCTTCGCCGCCAAGATCCTCGGTGACCACCACATCGTGCTCTGCCGCGAGGCCGACGACTCGCTCCTCTCGGGCATTCCCATGTGATCGCCCCTTTGCTGCGAGCTGATTTATTCCCGAGGGCGGGACGGGACGGCAAAAGACCCGCGCGGGGGCGGTGCCGCGGGATACCACGACGCGATTTCGTTTAGACCTGGGGCTCTATGAGGTCCGGCCGGCGGCCGGGGCCCTTCTTTTTCTCTGAGATGGTGTACATCCGCATCCCTTGATCTATGGCTTCAACTCGACAATACTGCGCCCCCAGTCCACGCAATCAGATGCCGCCAACCTTGCCCTCGACCGGCGATGCCGCCTCGGCAGGGGCGCCGGCCGCCAGCGGCTTCCGAGCCTTGAAGTAGTACATGGGGGTGAAGATCTGGGTCTCGCCCGAGCGCACGAGCGCGTGCGCGCCGACGTCCAGGAACTGGCTCACGGTGGTGGTGCCGGGGGGAGCGAGGCGGATGAGCTCGAGGAAGCGGGTGAGGTAGCTGGTCACGCTGGAGAAGAAGGGCAATGAGGCGCGATCGCGACGGTGCAGCGAGACGAAACCGACCTGCGGCCCCACGGTTGCCGGAGCCAGCCGATCGTGATCCCCTCAAGGGTCCAGAGGGCGCTCAGGTCCGTGGTCAGGGGCCAGTACCAGGGCCGCTTGTTCGTGGCCTTAACAATGTCGTGCTCGTAGGCCAGGTCGACGTCCTCGATGACCTCGAAGCCGACCTCGACGAGGCACTGCTTCCACTCCTCCGTCGTGTACCATTTCGGGATCGAGTTGCCCGTCTGCGGCGTCACGAATCAGGCCAAACGCCCCGAAAGTGTCGCGCGCCGAGGAAACCAACCGCCAGCTCGTGCATGATGTCGACGTGCTCCTTGTTGTTCGGGTCGTACTTGTCCGTCAGGCACCACTCGTACGCCGCGTACACGCCGCCGGGCTTCAGCACGCGGAAGATCTCCTTCATGACGTCGCTCGGCCGGGGGGCGTGGCACGCGGCCTCGATCGAGTAGGCGGCGTCGAACTGCTCCGCCTCGAACGGCATGTCGAGGAAGTTGCCCTTGACGGCGCGCGTGAGCCCGTCGAGGCCAAACTTCTTGCAGTAGTGGTTCACGCGCTCGACCTGGTGCCCGTTGAAGTTGATCCCCGTCACGTCGGCGCCCGAGAAGCGCGCCATCTCGCGGAGCGGGCCGCCGACGCCGCACCCCACGTCCAGGACCTTCATGCCGGGCACGAGCTCCAGCTTGTGGGCCAGGTACGTCTCGTGGCGCTTGACAGCCACCGACAGCGTGTCGCCCGCGTACATCCGGGCAAAGTGGAACGAGTCGCCCCAGGCTGCGGGGAAGGCGGGTTTAGGCGAGATTCCAAGAGCTGGGGATCACGGGAAGCTCACCGTACTCGTAGAAGTCGGTGACCTGGAAAGGAAGCAGAATCCGGCAGGGCATCTTTAGACATCTTTTCCAGCGGCGGACGACACCAAAGGGGCTCACCAGGTCGTAATACGCGCGGGTCAGCGTGTGCGCCGACTCGAGCCTCTTCTGCTCGTGCACATCGGCCACGCCCTCGCCGTTCTCGGCCTTGGCCCGCTTGAAGGCCTCCGAGTACTCCTGCGCCACGCGCTCGTGGGTCGCGCGGCTCTCCGCGTCCAGGTTCTTCTTGGCCATCTTCGAAATGAAGCTCGCCTCCGCGGCGTCCTTGGTGAAGTGGATCGCGCTCTTGGCGTCCGCCGCGCCGTTGGCGCGGCCGTTGGCGGCGGCGGCGCCGTTCTCCGTGGCAGGTGCGGTGGAGGCCATTGCGGGAGTGGAGAAGCGAAAGGAGGTGAGGTGTGCTTTCTGCGGAGCGCGCCCCGTGGGCCGAGTCCAGGCGCCCGAATTCGGCTGGTGATCGTCGCCCGTCCCCTGCCTCGAGAGAGCGGCGAAGAGAACGAGCGTTCAAAATACGTTCCGCTAGTCGATCTCAAGCTGCAGATGCCGCTTTGGCGTTGGATTGGTGTCGGGACGGGTCGGGTGGCGCCGGCAGTCCTAGGTAACCGTGCGAATCCTTCAAAGCCGCTCAAGCGGGCTCCGCATATGCAAGGACTTATATCAACACTATGGGATCAATGCTCTCGATGATGTTTGCCATCCGCTCTCTCCTCTTGTCCTGAGTGGTCTTGGCGCCTTGGCCGCGCCTGAGGCCGTGCCCTCGTGACCGAAGGTCGCCACAAACAGCTCAAACGCGCCCCCCCGGTTCTCGCGCCAAGGGTGCCTGCCGGACGGCCTGCTGCCGGTCCCTAGTGCATTTTGACTGGCTGCGCTACTGGGACCGGCGAGATGGCTCTCGTGCTCGCGGGGAGGACCAGAGGAGGCAGACCGGCCGGGGCTCAGGCACCGGCGACGGTTGGCCTTCTGGACGTGCCAGGTGGGACTCTCGGTGCCAATCTCGTCTCTTGGTCCGCCATTGACCTTTTCTGCCCTTCTTTCCTGCTCGTGAATGCCACCGCGACGGGCCGAATCGCGTCCTCAACCCCCACCCACGTGCGGCGGACCGCGACGCGACGGCGACCTGTGCCAACATCCTTCCCACGCCATGGCAGTCGAGATCATTTTCTCGGTCTTCTCTTTTCTTCCTCGGACCGAGGCCTTCCGGGTCCGCGGGGTGTGCAAGCTTATCGACTTCGTCGCGCATTCCTACCTCTACTGGACGGACTGCTCGTTCGACGCCGCGTACCGGCAGCGCACCGGACCCCGTGTCTGCTACCGTATCAGGATCCAGCCGGGGGACGCCGTCCTACGCCGCGTTTTCGAGGCGTGTGGAAAGGCCGTCAGGCGTGTCAAGGTGCACGCCGTAACGGACCAGCAGCTCTTTGCGACCATGCTGGCCAGTGGACGCAACCTGCGGAGCCTGCATCTGGGGGCTCTGTCGACGCCGGCCGTTCTGGCGCTCTTTGCGGCGTTGGAGACGGCTTCGTCCGACGGTAGCACGCACCTGACGGGCGTTGCCGAGCTGCATGTCGTTGCCACCCCTGCACAGCGCGATCCCGCAGCCCCCGACGCTCCACTTTCGCTAATCGCACGGGTCTTCCCGAATCTCAAGGCTCTCCACCTGCTGCTCCACTCGACGCTTGAGCCTGGTGACGTGGCATCCCTCACCGGGCTCCACCACCTCGTGGAGCTCTCGCTCGCCAACTGCGATCAGCTCTCGTCGGCGCACCTGTCGCCTTCGCCCTTCCCTGGCCTGCGGTACCTGTTCCTGTCGCACCTACGTTCGTTCCGCGACGAGGACGTCCTGCATTTGCCGGCCGGCCTGAGCCTGCTCGCGCTCCACGGCGGCCGATTCCTCACGGACGACATGGTTCCGCACCTGGGTCGCTTCCGCGAGCTGGAGTGGTTCAAGGTGCTCGCGTGCCCGGGGCTCTCGCTCGCCGCCTTTGATCCTCTCGAAGCGTTCGAACCCGCTCTGGGATGCCCCATGGTGCACTCGTGCGTCGGACGGTCGGGTGGTCTTGGGATGGCCTTCAGGAGGCGTGGTCCTGTCTAGTGTCCTAAAGCGGAAGTGCGCTTTATCGATCTGAAACGCAATGAGCGACTGCGACAACATCGAGGAATGAACGACCTTGGGAAACGACATGTAAAGGACACAGAGACACGAATGTAGATCTAGACCTGATCTGACACTAAGTAATATTTCATCTTTCTGAGAAGTCGAGCCTAAGGCAGCTGCGCCGAGCGAGCTCGCCGTTTCGCACCGCCGCCCGAAGCGTCCGCCTGGGGTGATTGCACGGCGAACTCCCCGGCATCCACAAAGGGCAACAGGCGGATCGCGGCGTAGTGCCGACTGAGACTGAAATGTTAGGGTTGCACGGAGGACAGATGGTCCTCTATTGTGTTGGGGCGGCTCAGAGGAGGGGCCCGTCCCCCGCAGCCACGAAAACACCCGCCGCACTTCACACATCGAATCATCGGCGAAAAGGGCCACAAAATGGGGAAATGAGCCGGACGGATGAGTTGAAAAATGAGCAGTGGTCAGAAAACGAAAAAGAGCAAAACAGGCGACGGAGTGTTTCGATCACTCGACGTTTGGGTTATGAGCCCAACACTCTTCCACTGAGCTACGTCGCGCGGTATATCGCTGGTTAGCCCGTCCGGGGCCTGATGGCGCGCGTCCGCCCGCCCCCCCAGTCTCCCACGCCCCGATCCCGGCCGCGGCCCCGCGCTGGCCGCGGATCGCCGAGCGCAATAGTAACTGGGATGCCGGACTCAAGCGCTTCCCGCTGGACGCACCGTTTTCGTCCGTTTCCGCTGGACCGGTCGACGAGTTTGAGTGACGCTTGGGCCGTTTTTGCGTCACCACCGACACCACCGGCCGAGACGCCCACCACAATTATGTCTTCGCAGTCGTCACCGCGCACGCCCTGGCCATCCGCTTATGGCTCTGGCGGCGGAGCGTCCTCAACATCGACGCCCGCGCGTTCCGGCGGGGGCCCTGCCGCGAGTACCCCCTCCTCTCCCGGGGAGGCATTCGTCAACGCGGTGGCGGCGCAGGTGGCGGACAACCCGGAGACCGCAGCTCGATTGCGGTTAGGCGGCTACGAGTACAACCTACGGCAGAAGCGCGAGCGGCGTGCCGGCCAGCTCCGCGAAGCCATCGCGGAGCGGAAGCGCCAACTCGAGCCTTTTGTCGCCGAGAAGAAGGACGCCTTCGCGCGGTACGCTGCCGAGGTTAAGAGGGGTCCGGTGCCTGGCGCTTCCGCTGTGGAGGAGCTCGAGCGCGTCGTGTGGGCTTTCGAGGACGCGGTCTCCCTGCAACGCACGCCGGACGCCGTCTTCCAGGCGCTGTTCCGGACCAACCCCGACGCCGCCGAGCGCTATCTTGCCATGGCGCGCGATCCGGTCACGAGCGACGTAGGATCGTTGCCCTGCTTCGTGCTGGAGCTCAAGCCCGGTGCGGAGGAGATGCTGGGTCAGTGGATGCGCGACCGGGGCCTCGATGGCTCCGCGAATTGGGACGTTCCTCGGGTCGTGGCCGGCACGGACGTCCCGCACGAGAGCTGCTGTACACCGTGAGGGCCCGGATGTCGCGGCGAAACCGCTAAACGTCGAGTGATCGAAACACTCCGTCGCCTGTTTTGCTCTTTTTCGTTTTCTGACCACTGCTCATTTTTCCACTCATCCGTCCGGCTCATTTCCCCATTTTGTGGCCCTTTTCGCCGATGATTCGATGCGTGAAGTGCGGCGGGTGTTTTCGTGGCTGCGGGGGACGGGCCCCTCCTCTGAGCGCCCCCAACACAATAGAGGACCATCTGTCCTCCGTGCAACCCTAACATTTCAGTCTCAGTCGGCACTACGCCGCGATTCGCCTGTTGCCCTTTGTGGATGCCGGGGAGTTCGCCGTGCAATCACCCCAGGCGGACGCTTCGGGCGGCGGTGCGAAACGGCGAGCACGCCTCGCTCGGCGACGCATCACTGGCCGACGCCTCGAAATCAGCCGCTGCTCTTCTTGGTGGAGCTAGACGGAACCCAGGGACAACTCCTCCCTAAGGCGCGAGGATGATGTCGTGTCCCTCAATCGATTAGCAGACTGCTCCGTCGATCGCGTCGACTCGCCGCGCAAAGCGACGCGTTGCTGCTGACAGGCCTGTCTCTGGACCCAGAAGGCCCGCATTCATTCCATCGGAAAACGATGATGGCGGACGCGGGCGACGGCCGCGACGAGGAACGCGTTTCCGTCGCGGAGGACGACGGAGACCCGGCCTGGGTTACCGACGACGGGGAGGGCGACGATGCGCAGGAATCCCCCGAGGACGACGAGGAGAACGAGGACGAAGCGGGAGAGGAAGAGGAGGAAGAGGAAGACGGGGAGGAGGACGACGGAGACGGGCTCCCGGCGCCGTCGCAGGAACTCAAGTCCATGTCCCTCAACTTCCCGCTCACCCAGGCCCGGCTCGTCCAGCTCGCCGCGGACTCCGTACCTCGAGAGCCTGGACATCAGGCCCGACTACGCCGGCAGCGCCCCCACGCTCTCGTTCGGCGACGTCTCGTTCCGCAGGCTGCGGACCCTCTCGGTGCAGCAGCCGCTGACGGACATCTTCTTCGTCAAGGAGCATTACCCGGCCATGGAAAGCATCTTTTTGGAGCAGTACAGGTCCGGGGGCATCCACATGGACCTCCCCAGTGCGTATACAGCCCGGCCCGAGGGACTGCAGCGCTGACGCGGACCCCCGCAGGGCTGACGTACTTCTCCGCGCAGCACTGGATGGTCGACGACCCGCACGGCTTCGGGCCGTCCCTCAGCCGCTGTCCGAAGCTCGAGACAGTCAACTGCTACAAGCTCTGGGGCCTCGGTTCGTCCGACCCGTCCCTCGTCCCGATCGTGCCCTCACGCAGCACTCGCAGGCGTCGGTTCCAGGAGCCGCGGCCACCGCCTCGCCCTCCCCTCGCTCGAGGAGCTGGACCTGTACCGCTCCGACGACCTGGGCTTCCTCGAGATCTGGGCGCCGCGGCTGCGCAAGCTGAACCTGCAGGCGTGCTACGGCATCGAACGCGTGGACGTGCTGGGTGCGCCGCCCGAGGGGTACGCGGACTACGTGAAGCTGGCGCCGCAGAAGGCGTCGAGGTACATCGTCAACTTCATCAACACGAGCGTGCCGGCGGGGAACGTCGTCAGGAACCCGAGGTGCCGGAAGGTGTTTGCCAACGACGAGGACGACGAGTTTGGGGACGGGTCCGCGGCGCTCCAGGAGGCGTGGATGCTCGCGTGAAGCGGGGCTCGGGTGTGTTTGCCGTGGTCGGATCGGCATGTCGTTCTATGTATCATTTGGCATCGTGGATGGGTATTGCGCCAGCATGCGACATCGATGGCGGACCGCCCAATCACCCGGCCCACCCCACCTCCCTCGCCGCCTTCTCGAACGCCTCCCACCTCCCCCCCTCCCTGGCCATCAGATCTTCCCTCCCCCCCGTCCCGTCCGCCTTCCCCATCTCTCCCCTCCTGTACCCCGCGATCCGCACGCACACGGCGTGCGACGACGTGTCCCACGCCCAGTTGGTCCCGAACACGGACTCGAGGTTGTACCGCGAGAGGAGCGCGCCGGCGGCCGAGAGGAGGAGGGAGAGGCCGCGCGGCGGGGACGGGGGCCGGGCGAGACCAGGGGTGGGGGAGGGGAAGAGCGGGGTCGAGGGCCAGAGCTTCGAGGCGAGGCGGGAGGCGAGGCCGGTTGGTAAAGGGGAGGGGGAGGGGTCGAGCAGCGCGCGCAGGACCGCGGCGGGTTCCCCGTCCCAGTCCCCGCGGGCGAAGCCGAACGCCCACGCCTCGAGGGGGTCGCGGCCGGCGGCGGCGTGCAGCGCGAGCTCGTCGCCGAACTCGGGGGAGCGGAGGACGATCTTGGGCGCACCCGCTGGGGCGGCGAACGCGTGTTCGGTGTCCCAGTCGCGCTCGACGGCGAGGCCGCGCGATTCGAGCCAGGTTTCGAACCACCCGCGCTCGCCGCCGGAGACCCAGCGCAGCGTGCCGCGCTTCCGGCCGTCGCGGAGGGGAACGGGTCGGCCAAAGACGGCCAGGCCGCGGGCGTAGTGCAGCGCCCAGGCCTCCCAAAGGATGCGGGGGAAGGTGAGGAAGGCGGCCAGGGGGAGCATGAGCAGGGCGCGGAGGAGCGACCAAGACGTCAGCTCCGTCGCGGAGGTCGTCCACAAGCGGGCGTGGAGGTGCTTCTTGTGGGTGAGAGGGAGGTCGGGGAGGTCGGGCAGCTTGGTCGGCTCGGGGACCGACGCCTCCGGGGCCGGCAGCTCCGCGATCGGCGCCCAGTGCGAGATGGCGACGTCGGCCTTCATGGAAAGGAGGGGATCGCGCACCTGGAAGGCGTACAGGCCGGTGCGCGGGCTGAAGGGGGAGACGTGAAAGGTCCGCGGCAGGATGTGCGCGTGCGTGTACCTAAGAGGTGGGGGCGGTGCTGTCAGTGATCCCGTCGGACGAGCTGGATCGCGGTCACCCCACCCCTTCCGGATCAGCGTCTTCGTGCCCTCGCCCCCCGGACCGTGATCCAGCACGTAGAGGAATCGCTCGCCAAAAGTGTTGTTGACCTCGGCCACCGTGCACCTGAGCTTGGGCGCCTCCCCGCCCGCGGCAGCGGAGTAGCAGAACCACACGTTGAGCGGGTTGAAGGCCACGCCGAACACGCGCGGCATGGTGAAGAGCAGCAGCGGGCCTGCGATCTCCGCGGGCGGGATGCCCCCGACGCGTGCTGCGGCCCACTCGAGGCGTGCCCGCATGCCGCCCCTGCCGGGCACCTCTGCCAGGTAGTCCTCCTCGCGCACCTCGACGACGGGCGGCAGCCACGGGCGGTCCCCGGCTGCCCGGCAGCCGAAGAGGGGGAATGCGGGGGAGCGGGCGGGGTTGCGGGCGTCGAGGGCGTCGACGTCGAGCAGCAGGTGGAACAAGTCGTAGCGGAACGAGTGGCCGGTCGGCAGCAGCCGCGCGTGCGCCGTGCGCGTGAAGTGCAGCGTGTGGCCGCGGCCGATCGCGGTGTCGGCGGCGGTCGCCATCGGGTCCTCTCGGTGGATCACGCGGTGCGGGGAATCCGGGAAGGGGGGCCGCCGAACTCCGTCTGCGCGGGAGCCGCTCGGGGACGCCGGCCCGGGCGCGATGACTCTTGGCGCGCTCAGGCCGCGCCGGATTAGTCACTTTCGGCGCTCGGGCCGTGTTCGGATTAGAGGCGGGATCGCCGCATGAATGTGCTCCGACTCCCGACATCCGCCGCTGATCCGGATCCCAACTCCGCGGTACGCTGCCCGACGGCATCGCGCGCCCTAATCCCGCATTCTAATTGCCTGCATTTTGCAGACCGTTTCCCGCTCGGCCGCAGCCCGCCTTCTGCGGTTGACTGCCTCCCCCGCCGGTTGGCACGAGCACCGCTTCCTCCACCCGATCCCCGCAATGCCCGCACGCTCCGGGGCCGCACGCCGCGTGGCCGTCGTCGGCTCCGGCGTCGCCTCGATGGGCGCCGTGTGGTGCCTGACACGCCACCCGGACGTGCTCGTCGACATCTTCGAGGCCGGCTCGTACCCCGGCGGGCACACCCACACCGTCTACATAGAGAGCCTGGAGGTCTGCGAAAAGGCAGCAA